TTTTGGTTTTGATTTTTTGAGAGTAATATAAAATTTCGTTGCGCCAAATCACACAAAATTTACCGCGCAAATATTTAACAAAAAGTAGTTAAAATTGAAAGTAGTAGCATATTGTGTTATTACTGTATGTACGCTCACTTGGTGCTAACCCACATCCTTAATCTGTGTTATTGGTAAGCCTATTTTTGTGTGTAAAGTAGTTTGAGCATTTGTAACCCAAACTACTTGTATTTTTTTGTTTTGATTAGTTTGAGCACTTGGAACCTAAACTAATCGATGCGAGAAAATAAGAAATGAAAGTAATAATTGGTTTGTATTTCGTTTATTTTCTGAACTTTGTTAAAATTATTTACTCTATTTGTTAAGTTTTTATTTGTTGTACATTTATGTTAGATATTTTATATATATTTATATTACAAAAACTGTTATTTACATTGTTTAATAAAATGTTTATCTAAAACCGTATTTATATTTAATTAATTTATTATCTCAAAACCGCATTGTTTTACGGCTGTATCGCGTCTTCTCCTTCGCTTTCGGCAACACAACTGGCGTCATCACACATGACAGCTTGTGGGCTTGTTCAGTGCATGCAAATTTTAGTGCGTGTTTAATGTAGGCGAATTCTCAACATCCCCCCTCGTAAATCCAAGTCGATTTTACAAAGTTTACGACGGCAATCGGTGGCTGGTCGACGAACTAGACCTGCTGCAGTTTTTACTTCTGCTATACGGACTTGACCATCCTTGGCTGGGAACACTTGAGTTATGCGTCCTTTCTGCCATTGGCTTCGCGGCAGGGCTGGATCACTAACTATTACTAGGTCATCAACTTGTAGTACATGTGCTTTGGAGTACCATTTCGGGCGATGCCAAAGCTGTGGTAGATATTGTATAACCCATTGTTTCCACATGCGATTTTTCAAGTTTTGTGCGATTCGCCACTGTTTGTTTAAACACATTTTTTTGTCGTACGGTTGTGGCGTCAAGATCGGACGTCGGGCATCCAGTGGCAGGCACGTGGCTTCATCAAGACGTCCATGTAAACGTAATAGTTCATGCTCGTCCAGATATGGCTGCAATTTGTAAATCGAGCTACTCTTTTGAATGTGCTTACCTTTATGTAACTGGTCGATTTCGTTCGCGAAATTCTCTTTTTGAACAATTTGGATTATCTTTAATTCGGCTTTACGCAATTCATCTACAGTCAATGATAAGAATGGCAGCTTCTCTTTCGGCATGACTTGGCGAAAGCGGCTCAATTTCGGGGCACAATTTTCACTTATCAGTGAAGGCTTCTTCAATTTCAGTGTCAGCAACCAATGTTGCGCTAACTTCTTGATGGCTCTTAATACCCACGCCATATGTCGTTTCAACTTTGAATAAGACGAAAATTTATTAAAATTTATGACACAATCACGTGTGCGTGTTAAAAATAATGAACAGATTTCTTCTTCTATTGGATTTGGCAGCTTTATGCTATAGCAAGGCCATTCGGATTCATGTTTTTTCAAAAATTCAGGACCACACAACCATCGGCCATTTGGTTTAAATTTGGTCCACAATCTAGTCGCTGCGTCGGCAGTGTTTTCGTTAGTGGGCACCCAGCGCCACTGCTCTGGTTGGCTATAGCCAATTATTTCAGCAATGCGATGTCCTACGAACGGTTTATATTTTCTTTCCGAAGCATGTATCCAATGCAATACAGTACGGCTATCGGTCCAGTAGGTGACTTTGGTGACGTGAATACTGTGCCCTTTTAAAATTGTTTTGCTGATGCGTAAACCAAGCACAGCGGCCTGTAGTTCAAGTCGCGGGATTGACATAAGACGTTTCGGCGCAGTTCTTGTTTTTCCTAATATGAAGCTTATTTTAATCTCTTCACGGTTGATTATTCGGAAATAGGCAGCGGCAGCAAACGCCGTTTCGCTCGCATCAACCATAACATGCAATTCAATCCTTGAAGCAATGGCGATATATCTTGAATAACATCTGTCGATTTTAAGCTGTTTTAGCTTTTCAAATTCTGACCACCAGGCTTGCCAAAGTTCAACAATTGGGTCCGGTATAAGCTCGTCCCATGCTACTTGACACTTCCATACTTGTTGCATAAGAAGTTTCGGCTGTAAGAGGAAGTCGGCAATAAACCCATAAGGATCAAACACGGCCATAGTAATAGATAAAAGTTCTCTCTTTGTCGGTGGACGTATTCCTTTTAAAACATCATTTGGTACACGATGGAATTTGGTATGATACTCGAATACATCTTGCTGCGTATTCCACTGCATTCCTAGGATTTTTTCTATTGACGATGAAGGTTCCATTCTCACAATATGGCTTGTTATTTCATTAAAATTCGAATTCATAGTCTGCTCAACGTACTTTGAATTGGACACGAAATTTCTGAGCTCAAAACCAGCTTGGCGATGTATGTTAACAACTTGTTGACATATTTTAATAGCGTCATCTGCAGATGAAAACCCACAAACTAAATCATCTACATAATGTTGGTTAATAATTATATCGACTGCTTCAGGATACTCTTCATGGAAATTTTCTGCGTTCTTGTTTTTGATATACTCCGCACAACATGGGGAACATATAGCACCAAAAATCATAGACGTCATAACACACTGATGAACTTCGGCTTTGATTCGCCATAGGAATCGTTGGGCATGTTGGTCTTCTACGCGTATTTTCACTTGGGAGAACATCTCCTTTATATCTGCAGCTACTCCTATTTCACCTTGTCGAAACTTAAACAGAATATCAAGTAGTGGCTTTGCTCTTTCCGGACCTTTCAGTAATTGTGAGTTGAGTGAAATTCCATTCGCTATGGCAGCAGCATCAAAAACTATACGACACTTTTCTGGCTTGTGCACGTTCTTTACAGCAAAATGTGGTAAGTACCATACAGGAAATCTACAATTTCGCACCTCATCGTTCGTTAATATTCTGGCATAACCCTTGGCAAAGTAGTTATTCATTTCCGTTCGATATTGCTGGGCAAACTGTGAGCAGCCATTCATCTTCTTCTCAATACTTTTGAAACGCCTGCTCGCCATCTCCAAACTGTCAGGTAGGCTTGGCGCTGATGTCTTCCACAATAGACCTGTCTCATAGCAACTGTCAATTTTACGCGTGGTGGCTTCTAGGATAGACCTGGCTCTTCTGTTGTCCTCTGACTCGAGTAATTGTTGAGTATTATTCATCCCGAAGTTCTCTGTTTCAAAATATTCCTCTATTAGGTGGCCTAAATCCTCATCAATGCCCTCATTTCGTATGTGCAGCACAATTGGACTAATATTGGCGTTGTCTTCTCTTGGACCATATGCAACCCAACCTAATTTTGTTTTGATGGCGATAGGATTGTTGCATTGCATTACCTCTGACGGCACTCCAAGGTATGCATTGTCAACACCAATTAAAACTGTAGGCTTCACACATTGGTATTCAGCAATCGGAATATCTCTTAAATGTGGATATTTAGCCTTTACGAAAGTTTGTACCGGTAAACCCAAATTACGAATAGTGTTGACATTTTTCAAAGTAAAAACTTTCGAACGATCAGAACCAACTATATCCAGGTCGACTTTACGGCAGTTTTCTGTGGCGACCTTTTCACCAAACCATTGTAATGTAAGTGGCTGTAGCTGCCCTTTAAGACCCAAAGCGACGGCTACTCGTTCTTCCACTATGGATATAGACGAACCCTCATCAAGTATGGCGTATGTGGTATAATGACCTTTTGGTCCACACAACGTTACCGGCAAAATTTTAAATAAGTGAGCAGGCGATGAAGTTTGGCAACTGAGCACTGTACTATTTAGTGCTATCTCAGCAGGCGATGCTATAGGCTTCTTCTCTTCATGTAGGCTAAAGTGATGCTGACGTTTACATCCATTGATACCACAATACTTTTTTGACCGACAATTCATTGTTATGTGACCGTTATTTAGACATGAAAAGCATACCTTCAAATTTTTTACTTTGTTCCATCGTTCGGCCACGCTACTTGTTTGGTAGCTCTGACATTGGAATAAATTATGCTGGCCTTTACAATTTGGGCACCCTGTTTTCAAAGGCGGTGTATTATTTTCATTGACGTGCATTACCATACTTGCTTTACTCTGTGATGATTTGGGTGAAACAGTGGGAAGCAGGCATACGACCCTCGAGATAGAACCAAGCCAATCGGAAAAGTTCTCAATAGTTGGATGTGATTTCAGAGATTTTGAATGTAGAACCCACTCATATTGCTTGCTCGGCGGTATCTTACGAACCAATGCTTCCATAATAGTTATATCACACAAATAATGGCTACAATTGGCAGCTTTTAATACTGACACTGTGTTTCGAATTTTTGTCGAAAATGGTACAATTTGCTCTAATTTAGACTCTCCAAACGACGGTAACTCTTGCAGTTTTGCCAATTGATCTTTGACAATTAAATCTGGTCTTCCAAATCGAAACTCAAGCTCTTCAATAGCATTAGGCACATCGGCTGGATATATTAGCATTGACACAACAGCTTCACGTGCAAGACATTTTTGCAGCCGCATCAGATTTTCTCTGTTGCTATAATTAAACATCTTTGTCGTGTCATTGTAATTGGCGTAAAAAAGTGGCCATTCCTGCGGTTGGCCATCAAAATGTGGCAAGTCATATATTATTTTCTTTTGGCTTCTCTCTGCAATTTCTACACTAGATTCTTGTTCTATAATTTCCATTTTAGCACTGTTACACACAACACTGTTCTCTTTTTCATCATCAACATGGCAATTTTTTACTGTAGCAATTTCGGCTCTGTTTTCCAGACACATATTTTCTATACGTTCAAGCTTCTTCATAATTGCATTAAGTGCATTTGTCGTCGAATTATCTTCTACTGTATCATCTGCTACACTTTCTTTAGCTTCAGTCATTTTTACTGCTTTTTTCATTGTTCCACGATTCTCAGAATTATTTCTCGGGTTTTTTCCACTTCTCAACTTCATAAAACATGCGACACACAGAAATCGTAAAACCGAATGTTACACACATAGAAATCGTACAAACGAAAGAGACACACAGAAGCCGTAAAAACGAATGTTAAGTTTTTATTTGTTGTACATTTATGTTAGATATTTTATATATATTTATATTACAAAAACTGTTATTTACATTGTTTAATAAAATGTTTATCTAAAACCGTATTTATATTTAATTAATTTATTATCTCAAAACCGCATTGTTTTACGGCTGTATCGCGTCTTCTCCTTCGCTTTCGGCAACACAACTGGCATCATCACACATGACAGCTTGTGGGCTTGTTCAGTGCATGCAAATTTTAGTGCGTGCTGAATGTAGGCGAATCTCACTATTTATACACAACTATTTCATATAAAAAAAAATATTAAATTATGCATTAATTAACAATAAATATTAATGCATAATTCACAAATAAATAAATTTGCCTACGCTGTGCTGACATAATTATAAGCCAAAAATATAACACACTTTCTTCAGTGCATTGGCCAACAAGAAAAGCTGATAATGCAAATTTCACTTTTCGTTGGTCAATGACTGGTCGCAGTGTTGGCTCAAACTGTAAACACATGTAACCAAATATCATAACAAAAAAAATATAAAATAATATTAACTAAATATAAACATAAACACTGTATAAAAACTAATAAATTGTGAAAATAAAGTTCAGTATTTATATAAAAAGATAGGAAAAAAGTGTATTAAAGGATGTAAAGAGTTTAAATCCCTTTATAAATTCCCGGACAACGATGAGGAACGAAGGTAAACTTTGCATTTCAGTTTATAAGTGTTTTGCATAATTGGTTTACAGTATATGTGGAATAACAAATATGGATGTGTTAATTAAAATATTTGTAAGTATTAATTCATGTTCGTGATGATAAAGCAATAAAATTATAAAAACAATTTATAATAAAAACACTGATTTTTTGCGAATAACATTTCCAGATTTTTTTTTTTAATATTATTGAAAATATTAATTTCAATCAAATTATACTTAAAATTATTATATAAAAAAACAAAAAATCGTTATAAAAATGGTTTTTATATTTTTTGTAGTTCTTATCCTATACCAGCAAATGAAAATTAAATATGAATCTTACTGATCATAAATGTTAAGTAATCTACAAAATAGATGTTTAACTGGATTGTATTTTCAATGGCATGTATTTATTGAAATTTAATTGTACAATAAATTTATTTAAATAGAGGCGTTAAAAATATGTATATTGTATGTAAAAAGTAAATAATTGTTTTTTAGCATAGCTATTTGTGTGAAAATTATTGAAGCGTCTGCAAAGACAAAACTAATTTTGTGTTATTATTTGTAGTTAAATATGTTTATTTTTTATTGTTGATCCTTTTTATATAACTACTCGAATATACTTGTTTTTCTATATAATTAATTTTTATTTTTGTATTTCATTTAATTCTGATAATTATTTACCAAATTAGAACAGAATGGATGAAGCGCTTAGAAGTAGTTGGGCAAACTAAATATATGTTTCCCTGTAACAATCATTTTTCTGCCAAGATGATGTGTACTGCACGAATTTCTAAATGCGCAATCCCGGACGTTAATTTAGATTTAAGTTATATTAGTTATTAAAATAAAAATAAAATTGACAACGAAAGTAATGTGGAAAATGAAAAGCAAAATCACCTCTCTAGCATAGGAGATAGTAAAACCTTTGATAGGAGTGAAATTTCTGTTTGTGGAAGAGAGGTCCAAACAGACAATAGTCTTTCTGAAGCAACTCCCAATAAAAAGAAAACTTAACGAAAAATATTCAGAAACTTAAATAAAATTAAAAAAGTTAGAGAAGGTAGTTGAAGAAAAAAATGAAATTATTAAAAGTAAAGAAGTAGAAATTAGGGAAAAAAATGAAAGTTTAGAAAAAATTAAAGAAGAGAACAAAGAATTGCTTTTAAAATGTAATACTATTGAAAGTGTTACAAGCAATTTTGATGAGAGTTTGATAGATGAGCTTTGTAACAAGCTTCCACAATATACGCAGGTATGTGTAAGAAATTGTTTTCGAAACAGTAATCGTCATTCACATGGGTATCGCTATGATTCTAATTTTAAAACAATAGCACTAGGAGTTAATTTTCTTTCACCCCTAACTTACAGACATTTACGCGTAAGTTTGGCCATCAGAACGAACCTTACGAGAGTTCGTCACAAGTTGGCCCAAGTCTCCAGGCTGCACGCATAGTAGTATTACAGTTTTGGAGTTACGAAGTCGTGGCTTCTCATACGAACAAAGATTCGTTTCTGTATCCTGTGATGAAATGTCTTTGAAAGGTCACCTTCAGTATGACAGACATAATGACAAAATAGTTGGGCTTGAAGATTTTGGTGGTGAAGATCGTACTTGCAAAATTGCAAGTACTGTCTTGACTTTCATGGTACAAAGAATCGCAGGAGTAAGATGGTCTCAGCCTCTTGCATACTTTTTTGTAAATGGAAGTTGCAAGGGTGAAGTTCTGAAATCGTATGTTATTGAAGTAACTTCAGGGCATTAATCTTTACCCATGCCATTTCGTTTGTGATCAGGGTAGAAACAATATTAAATTAGCTAAGTTATTAGAAGTAGATGTGCATCACCCTTTTTTTAAACTCAATGATGAAAAGATAATTTTTTTTTATGATGCACCTCATTTGATAAAAAGTACCAGGAATTGTTTAGAAAATAGCAGTAATAATGTTATATTTAATAATTGTAAAGTAAGTTGGGAAGATATTGTTCATTTTTTTAGTATTGATTCAAAATTAACTATTCGATGTGAGCCTCACTTGACAAATGCAAATATTAGGCCCAATTCATTTCAAAAAATGCGTGTCAGGTTTGCTTTTCAAGTACTTAGCAACACAGTTGCATCAGGAATGAAAGCATTGTGTAAATCAGGTTTAATTGATTCAAGTAATACGAGTACTGTTAACACTGATGAATTTGTTCTGTTTTTTAATAATCTTTTTGATGTATTCAATTCAAGCAGCACCAGTACCTTAGGACTTAAGAAAGGCTTTTGCGGATCAATTAAATAATTGGATTTTCTGCAAAAAGCCGAAATTCTTCTCAAATCCATTAGATTTGAAGACAACGAAGATAACAATATTGTTAAGAACTTCTCTTTTATTAAAGGAAGGCTTCTCAATATTAACAGCTTTCAGCATATATGGCAATATTTAGCCTCTAAGAATTTTCAGGTTTTAATGACCAGAAAGCTTTATCAAGATGTGATAGAACATTTTTTTGGACAAATACGACGTGGTGGAGGCAATTGTGCAGGCATCACTCCACATTTATTCACTTGCTTTTTCAGAAGAGATGGGGATTAAGTTATTTGAATTGCATAGTAAATGCCAATACTGAGCAATTAATTAAATCTGACTGTCCTTCTACCGTAGGCTCTACTATTATTTCACCTACTCCAATTTCCCCTGACTAGAGTTTAGAAACTGTATGCAGTGATACATTAGTGAACGACACGTTCTGGCAGGAGTCTCATATGTTTAGTGAACTTGTAGGCTTATCCTACTTAATTTAATTCTTTATTTATTTATTAAAGCAAGAAATAATTAGTAAATTTTGTGTGTTGAAATTACACGTGTCTGTTGTTTTATTTTTAGATTTCCCAAACCGTAAAAAGAATGACAACCTTATTTTTACTAAATAAAAATATTATTAGTTTTTAAAAATTTTCTTTTATAGCCAACTCTATATCAACCTATATCATTTTAAACATTAATGTGAATATGCAACCGCCACATTACTCCCCTGGCAGTGACTGAGTCATGTGCGATGTCACGTTAAGTCAAATTTAACATATCTTCTTGGAACCTGCACTAATCGTCCCTTTCGTGTTACATTACTAGGTTTGGTGACCATTCGAGTATCTGCCATATCTTCTGTATGTGATGGGCTTACGTCTTCATTGTTTCTTGATAAAAATGCTGCCTTTACCCGATCAACACTCACCCGCACCGGTTTTCCTTTGATTAGAAGATCATACGTCTTGTCTGAACGCCTCACAACCTTAAATGGCCCATCGTACGGTGTTTTTAATGGTGGACGGACACTATCATCCCTCAAAAACACGTGAGTAGCATGTTGCAGTTCCTTCTGTAAGAATACCTTTCCATTTGAGTGATTTGATGTAGGAACTGATCATATTTGATCAGTTGACCATGAGATCATCTGTCTCATGTTTTCCACGAATTCATGTTCTGGGATTGTATCATTATTACCATGTTCCAGGAAATCGCTCGGCAACCGCAAAGTTATCCCATAAACCATTTTTGCTGGAGTTGCTTTCAGGTCTTCTTTAAAGATATTTCGAAGCGCTAATACAATCAAAGGTATTGCATCAGACCATTGATGTTCATGCTTACATTTCATTGCAGTTTTCAAAGTCCGATGAAAACGTTCAATCAAACCATTCGCTTGAGGATGACGTGGACTAGTTCGGATATGTTTGGCACCAATGAGTTTCGCTAATTCATTAAACAGTGCTGACTCGAACTGTCTTCCTTGATCTGTTATGATCTGCTTCGGAACGCCAAAGTGCATGATCCAACCATTGATGAGCGCTGTGACTACCGTGCTGGCATGTATATCCTCGATAGGGACTACCGCTGGCCATCTGGTAAACCGATCGATACATGTAAGGCAATATCGGTAACCGTTTGACGATGGTAGAGGCCCAATGAGGACAATGTGAATTACAGCGAACCGCTCATTTGGTACATCAAAATTCAAAATTGCTGATCGATTGTGTTGCGTGACTTTTGCTCGTTGGCACGGAAGACATAATTTAACTCGCTCCGCAATGTCTTTTGCCATGCCCGGCCATACGAAACGTTCTGGTATTTGCTTAATAGTGGCTCGCCGAACAGCATGTGCGAAATTAAGTATTGAATTAAAGACGCGTTGTCTAAACTGTTCAGTTACAAAAGGACGCACACGATTTGATGATACATCACATGCAATTTCCTTAGATGAATTTGAAATGAGTATCCATTTCAGTTGAAGTGCAGATTTATTCATTTTAGATAGAAAACCATTTGTTTCAATGTCGGTTTTCTGGCTTTCTGCTAATTGATCAAAGTCAACTAAATCTTCATTGCTGACGTGACAGATACGTGACAGAAAATCAGCTACCGGATTATTCTTACCAGCTATATGCATGATGTCAGTTGTGAATTGACCGATGTAATCTAAATGTCTTAGATGGCGTGGCGATGCCTTTTCCGGTTTCTGTCGAAATGCATACGTTATCGGCTTATGATCAGTGAAAATAGTGCAATGTCTACCTTCAGTCTCCATTTTCTTGCCTTGGGGACGAATTCCTTTATGATTAATGAGATGACCAAGGAATGTTACTTCTTCCTCTGCGAACACACATTTTGCTATGTTTATTTTCAAACCATGTTCCTGGAGACGTTGTAGCACGCTACGCACATGTTGTATGTGCTCGTCTATGTTATCGGATGCGATGCAAATATCATCAATATAACATATGGCAAACTTGAATCCGAAAAGAACTTGGTCCATGAACCTTTGAAATGATTGTGCTGCATTACAAACTCCAAAAGTCATCACATACAGGCCGAAAGGTGTAATTATTGCTGTTTTTTCTCTATCCTCTTCAGCAACCGGTATATTAAAGTACGCCTTTTCTAAATCCAATGTTGTAAAAATGCGTTTTCCATTTAGCGAATGCGTGAAATCTTGCATGTGTGGAATAGGATAGCGGTCAGGAACTGTTTGGGCATTAAGTCGACGGTAATCGCCACAAGGTCGCCACAAGCCATTTCCTTTTTGCACCATATTTAGTGGACTCGCCCATTCACTCTTGGATGGTCTACAAATTCCTTGCTTCAACATATACTCAAACTCCTGCTTGGCTGCTTGCAGTTTTTGCGGATTTAGCCACCGTGCACGCGAAAAAACAGGCTGACCAATGGTGATAATCTGGTGGCGAACCGTAGTCTTAGGCTCGTTATTGTAATTGTATGAAACAGGCATTGTCACCTCCTTGAATGAGTTTAGAAGCTCTTTGAATTTGTGGTCATTCTGAATGGAAAAGACTGGCTCATATCCAGTGTGTTCCGATGCACATTGGGTACTAAACTTTGTTTGCGTATCGCTCAGGCAACTACGTTTTACATCTACCACAAGACCGAAATGTTTCAAGAAATCGGCACCCAAAATTGGTTTTGAAACATTGGCGATTATAAAATTCCAATCAAACTTCCTACGAAGGCCCAAGTTCATTGATAACAACTTGTTACCGTAGGTTAGAATAGCCGACCCACTCGCTGCATACTGTTATGGGCACATACACAATAGGGTGTGTGTTAAACGGTTTGACCGTCAATGGATAAAAATATAAGAATAGCCTTGCAGTAAGTCTCATGTTACGATGCGGTAGCATGGGACTATGCAGAAGGCAATAGCCCCACAACGCGGGCGTGGAATGTGCTGACACTACAAAACGTGACCGGCAAACACGCTACTTTTGAAGCTAACGCAAAAGTACAGAAACTTTTGACTAGCAGTTGCTGTTAAAACTCGAGCGGTTGAGGATTTTGTTAATTGCTGTCGAATAATAAAAATTGATGTAGTTCAATGTAATCTTTTTAAAAGAACCTGATTTAGTTGGTGTCGGTTGGTCTAATAGAACATCGTGTGTGAGTAACCCTCGCATATTTCGTAACGTAAAAACGGTATGTGACAAGTAACAAATCAAGTGATGATCTTAACTCCTAAACCAAAACTTAATTGTGTACGAGTTTAGTAAAAGCTCCTGCGAGTGCGGTTAAACAAAGAAGTAACAAATCAAGTGATGATCTCAACTCCAAAACAAAACTTAATTGTGCATGAGTTTAGTAAAAGCTCCTGCGAGTGCGGTTAAACAAAAAGTAACAAATCAAGTGATGATCTCAACTCCAAAACAAAACTTAATTGTGCACGAGAGCAACAATTATTACACGCGACAACTTCGATTACAACTTTAATAGATAACAACAGTTTCCAACGTACATTTTTCCGCAGCTGCGAGTGAAACTGCAACAGCAGTAGCAACAGCAACTACTAAGTTTGAAGCAACATCAACAACATCAGCAGCAACAGTGTCGACAGCAGAAGTACCGGAACGTATGCAACAACAGCTAACATAGCGAAGCAGCGACAGCATCTAGGGTTTAGGAAATAAAACTGAATTTAAATAAAATAACCGAACCTCAACTTCATGCGTTGTCTTTTAACACACATAGGACCACGACAAATTGGCGCAGCCGGTAGGATGCAGGTAAGCATCATTTAAATTTTATAATTTATCGATCATTAGTAATTAATTTATTAATTTATGATTTGTTAAATTAAATTTTTGTGTATTACTTGCATTCCTCTGAAAATAGAAAACATTTTTGATAGTGTTTTGTTTGAGTTATCTTAATCAACTAACTTTATTTTTTTACATTACACAATATTTACTTAAACTACTTACAGGCTAGAGTTTCCAACTTTATATATTTAAAATAATTATTAATATTGTTGAATATGACATCTCGCCCCTTAAAATTGTAATATATTCGAAATATATGTTCTATGTATAAGATTTAAAGGTATGTATATTATATATTATTCAAATAATATATTCAATATATATATTCAAGTAATATATTCAAAATATATGTTCTATGTATAAGGTATAAAGATATATAAAAGTTTTAAATAGGTTGATAACGATTAGGTTGAGCTCGAGTACGAGCGCTTCGACGTGGAATCTGTTCAGTCATCTGAGAACGCTCTTCAGTGTTAGTGTGATTAGTGTTGTTGTTATCCTCCTGCTCACTAACAGGTGTTGGCAACATATACCAATCAGATTTGCTGTTGTTTTCTGCTGACGTTGATGAACGGTGTTTTATTTGATTTTGATGACGTCTCACGTAACCGTTGGACGTTTTCACAATATAAACCATGCATCCTAAGTTTTTAATAATGACTGCTTCCACCCACTTCGGACCTCGACCATAATGTTTAATATACACGGTTTCGTTAGGCGAAAATTTAGTTGAACGAGTGACGGGTTTATTGTTGTTTGGTGGTGCTGATAGCAGTGTAAGCAAAGTACGTGGCGCACGCCCATGTAACAATTCTGCCGGTGACTTCCCTTCGGCATTAGGAATAGCTCGGTATGTCGCTAGATACTTTATCAAAGCCAATTTAATCGATAATCCATCATCAATATTCTTTTGAACGGATGATTTGAATGTACGTACGAACCTTTCCGCGAGCCCATTTGATGTTGGGTGAAATGGTGCTGTTTTAACATGACTTATGCCATTACGAGCACAGTATTCAGCGAACTGGTCGGAAGTTAGCTGTGGTCCATTGTCACTAACTATAGTTTCAGGTAGTCCTTCTAATGAAAAAACTGCTGACAAAACTGCTATGGTGTCAATAGTGGTGATAGTTTTAAGCTGTACCACAAATGGAAACTGTGAGAAAGCGTCAACTACTATTAGCCACATAGACTGGAACACTGGGCCAGCAAAATCTATGTGTACTCGTTGCCATGATCGTTCTGGCTTTGGCCACTCATGGTATTTTTGTTTCGGACTTGCACGCGCAATTTGACAAACACTGCATTGTGAAGCAAGTTTTTCGATGTCGTTGTCAATATTAAGCCACCAGCAGTGTTGCCTAGCGAGTTGCTTCATCTTAACGATGCCCCAATGGCCGTCATGGAGAAGCTTTAAAACTGACTGATGCAAGGATTGAGGTACTATGACTCGAGTAGCATCTGTCTGTAAATAAATCAAATCATCTCGAATGAAAAGAGCATACTTACGACGAAAATAAGGAAGCAAATCCATGTCGCCATCGGCTAATTTTGTTCGCCACCCTTCCGAAATTAAATTTTTTACACGTTTTAGTATGTAATCGTCTTTGTAGTGGTGTTGTAGCAATCCGAAGTTGATAAGTGTGTCATAATTTTCTATTTGATAACAATGCTCCAACCTGTCGAACTCAGGATCTGATCCACAAGGCAGGCGTGATAAGGCATCGGCATTTGAGTGATCGGCAGTTCTACGAAACTGTACCTCAAACTGATAAGACATCAATGTTATTGCCCAACGTTGCAACCGATGTGTAGACATTGATGGCAAATTTTTGTTTGGACTGAAGATGCTTACTAAAGGTTTATGGTCCGTAACCAGAATAAACTTATGACCAAATAAGTACTGATGGAAACGAGTAACTCCAAATATTATCGAAAGTGCCTCTTTTTCGATTTGGCTGTATCGAACTTGATGAGTGTTCAGCGTTTTTGATGCGAAAGCAATAGGGCGCTCTGTGCCGTCTGGATTTCGATGAGCAAGGACAGCTCCAATTCCATATGATGAGGCGTCAGTAGCTAAGACTAATGGTAGATGTTCTTGAAAATGTGATAATTCGGTTGCGTCTATTATGTGTCGTTTTAAAGCTTCAAATGCTTGTTCCTGCTTAGTGCCCCAAACAAATTTGATGTTCTTCCGACGTAAATGATTGATAGGCGCGGCCAATTGCGAAAAATTTGGAATAAAGTTATGGTAATAATTCACTTTACCCAGAAATGCTTCGACTTCTTTAATGTTTGTTGGGCGTGGCAACTTTTTTACAGCCTGAACGCCTTTTTCATCAGGTAAAACACCATTTGCACTAATTGTTCTACCTAAATATTCCAGTTTTTCCACTAAAAATTCACATTTTTTTTGTTTGCAACGAATACCGATCTCAATCAAAATTGACAAAATTTTTTCTAAGCGTTGACAATGTAGGTCCACCGTTTCAGCCGCGATGATTATATCATCAATATAATTACCACATCCTTCTACACCTAGTATAAGTTGCTCTAAATGTTTTTGAAATATAGCAGGCGCGCTGGCAATTCCATAAGGAAGCCGCTGATATTGGAAAAGCCCTAGTGGTGTATTGACTACTAAAACCTTTTTTGCCTCTTCGTCCAACTCCATTTGCAGGAAGGCATCCTTCAGGTCGATTTTAGAAAAATATTTTCCATATCGGACAATATGAAGTAAGCTTTCTCGCGTTGGTAATGGATATTGATCGACATCGATTTGTTTGTTTACTGTTGTTTTGAAATCGCCGCAAATGCGAAGAGAGCCATCTGGTTTTGTAACCAATACAATTGGCGAAGCCCACTCACTAAATTTTATTGGTTTCCAAATACCACTATCAGTCAAGCGTTGCGCTTCTATTTTAAATTGATTTATTTGAGCGAATGGAATAGGTCGACTTTTACAAAATTTAGGCACGGCGTCTAATTTTAAAAGTATTTTTGCTTTAACCTGCTTAATTG